ACCTCCCTGCTTTCTCTCCTGTTTAAACATCTTCCGTGTTTTCACCGGCCCTTCACTGCCTGCTGGATGTGCAGAGCTCCCACATGCAAATGTCTAACAGAAGCACGGCTGCGATGGGCCGTTTAGAGTACGCATCGTGGCCAGAGGGAACACTCAAAGTTGTGAAAACTGAAACAAGCAAGTGGCACTGGCCAAGGTAGAGGTACCTGTGCTCAGATGAGGCCTAAGGGACACCCGTCTGTAACCTTGGTCTCAGGGTCCTATTCAGGGTAATCTAAAAACCTTCCCTCCAGACTCAGGCAGCTTATTCGCCTGCCCTCGTGGTAAGCACGCCTGCGAGGGCCAGGAGGAGAACCACTGGCTCCTGTGAGCCTGCGGGCACGTGGGCTGAAAATCAAACACCCTTCCCACCCTCTCCCCCCATAGCTCCTGGGATAGATGTCTCAGCATCTCTTGGGAGGATGACCATATGCAGTATAGCAAATATGGGGGATTTCCATCTATCTTCTGTTTGAAGGTAAAGGTTGTTTTCACTGTTTTGTTATGTTTCTTTTGCTCTATTCAATACTCTCAATTGGTTTTACAATGTTCTGTTTCTGGTTTGAGTTTGCTATACCTCACTGCCTGGACAACTATTGCGAAGATAACGAGATACACCATAGTACCTATTACTACTATCCCAGTATCCTACTGTGAAATCCTGTACCAATTTCACTGCATTGTCTCGATTGGTTTTGTTCTATTTTGTGCTGTTGCATTTTTACTACTTTCAAAATAAAATTTAAAAAAAAAACCCTTACCTCCAGCTTTTCAATAAATATGTGATTTAAGCACTTTAAAACTTCTCAAAGGGAGTCTTCATGCTTCTGGGCTTAATATCTTTTTTTTTTTTTTTTTTTTTTCTGCTCCCCAAAGCAGTTAACACACCGAGCCACCAAATAAGGGTTGGCCCTGAGTCCGAGACGACCTTCTCCATCAGTGAGGTGACCTTAGAGCCTCCAGTGACCTCTGGTTGGGGAGAACGAGGGAGAATCAGGAAAGGACGATGGAGCACGGGACCAGAAGCTGGGGGCACTGCCTTGGCGGAGGGCTTGGGGTGAGAATCTGACTCTGGTGATTGCGCCCTGCTCCTGAGGCCTGGACCCCGCCTGTGCCCATGACATCTTTCACCCTTCTTGCTCAACAAGGCAATGAAACTGAACTCAGAACAGAACCAGCATTGCGACTGGCTCCTCCCTTTTCCTATGGCATTAGCATGGTACCGAGCGTTGCGTCCTGCCTGGCTGATTTGGTAACATGCATAGTAAACCCATAAATCTCCTCTTGACTTGAGTAGCTTTTCATGTACTTACCAAGTTGTATTTGCCATTTCCTTTCATCTTTTCACATGTATATTAGAAGCAATTATTCAAATGAGTGATAATTGCATGCTTGGAAAATGTAGAGAGCGGGAGGAAAGCTTTGAAGGCTGAGGCAGTGAGAAAGCTTCAGGACTGGCGGCCCAGAAGGGGCTGAAGGGGAGCCCACTTCGCCCTGAAACTGGCGTGGCTACGCCTCTGGACCAGAGTAGGAAGAGCACAAAACCCTTGTATTAAGTGTTCTGTCCCTCATCGAGCTCTCTGGGGAACCGGGACAGGAATCTGTTTGGCCACCTATTAAATATCCTTATTTCTAATTTCATGCTGAATTTGTGCAAATAGAAAACAAATGGTAGCTGCTTCCACATGAACAGTATTTGTAGCGGGCGTTATCTAGAGCCTGAAAGCTGACCAGGCTTTCTCAGAGGAAACCAGAGAAGGGCCTGTGCTGGCCGGGAATCATCAGAAGTAGATGTGCTGTCTTCGACTGTCTAGGAGTACAGAGAATCCTGAGGAGTTGAGGCAGGAGCAGGGGCTCTCCAGTGCCCTCCTTCCACAGGAGAACCCCCAGTCTTGCTTATCCCAGGCCGGGCGCCTGGCTTTTTCTATGGCTGTTAGCATGGGACCCTGGTCACCTGGCCATCACTGTTACCTTCAGATAGGCGGATCTCTGAAAATGTTTTCCTCCAACTGACGCACCGTCGTGACTTTTTACACAGGGAAGGAGAGTGTGGAAGTGTGCGGGTCTACTGAAGTGAGAAATCAAAGCCCGATTTCGTGTCTCCCCGTCGTGGCCCCAGGTGGCTCTCTATGTGCTGTTCTCACTGCTTCGAACCTCTGCAGAATAACCCAGGGAATGTCACGGGTCCTTTCTGAGTACTGTCTCGCAGCACAGTACAGCAGGGGACTTCTGGAAGCTTTGTCTTTGCTGAGTCTTAGTTTCATCATTTCTAAAGTAGAAATACTGGATGTTTCCTTGACATTTTAAATTACATAAACATGCACTACTAGGGCCAGGCATGTAGCTCAGAGCTTGTCTGACAGCCTTGAGGCCATGGGTTCCATCCCCTGCAAATCGCCAAAAATATTATACATGCACACACATGTATACAGTGTTGGTTTCTTTTCTGAGACAAGGTCTTGCTATGTAGTTCAGTTTGTCTTTGAACTCACTATGTAGCCCACGTTGATCTCAAACTTGCAGTGATCCTCCTGCCTCAGCCTCCCTAGTGCTGGGATTACAGGTGTGCACCACCACGTCCGGCAAGTGCTGTACTCCTAAACGTGAGTGGCCGCCACACCAGCTTGAGTTCTCCAATGTGGGGGCTCAGGAATACAGCTCAGTAGCACAGTGCCTACCTGGCAAGCACAGGGCCCCTCATTCGATTCCCGGCACACAAAAAATTGCAATTTGGAGAGCAGCATTTATAAACTGGGAAGAAATGTTTAAAGAGGAAAAAAACCCAAGTAAGTAACACGTCATCTGCAGCAGTGTTCTTACAAGGTACACTGTTCCCCTGACGCAGAACACCCGTGGGTTTGACTAGACTGGCTCAGTGGGTTCCGTGCCAGGGGTCTGACACCTGACCCCTGACAGGTGTGTGGGGTGCGCTGGATGGGTGTGCAGACAGACGTGCCAGGGCCACTGGCAGAAACTAAGTGAACGTTAGAACGGTGTTAGTGAATGCAGTGCAGGAACTACGTAACTCCAAGACGTCATTATAACCATTATTTGTTACCCATTTATTTCCGGGCCCTGATACACAGAAAAACTCTTCAACCAAGAAGAGCCTAGTGACGCGTTAACAAGGAAATGGGGTCTCATAACTGATGGAAGGTAAGAGTGTCTCTCCTGAAATCCTAAAATCCTATCATTGAATATATGAAAATTGTAAGAATTCTAATTCTTCCAATGAAGTCGGGAAATGTTAAGCATTCAAATACTTCCATCATGTACATAACAGTGACTTTCACTTACTGAACACACATGATGGACCTCAGTGTCCAAAAGGTTTTACTTGTTCCAAGTCCCCGAGTCTGAACAGCCCTAGGAGATGGGGGGGCGTGGTGTCGTCACCCACTTAGTGACGCGCCAGCCTGCTGACCTCTGGAGGCAGAGAACAAGAATTGCTACTCTGAGGCTGATGACTGCATCTGGAAGCGTCAATCTTTTGACCAGTTTACTCTGAAACTCTTTAAAGAGAAGCCTTTAAAATATTAAATGGGTGAAATATTCCTTTAAAAGCCTTTAAGCATTCCAGTGAGGTGTCCTCAGCAAGAGGCTGAGGCAAATGCTGATACCTGTAACTCCTCAAAGGCCCACATCCAGGTATTCTGCTGGGCTCTGAATAAATTCTCCATGAACTACCATGTTTTTAAACAATGCTCCCTTCTCAGACATCCCTTAATTCATCAATGTGTATTTTTCTCTTTAGACAACAGTACAAGGTGGGAGAGAAGTAGAAGTATTTGCCCCAGTTATCACGCAACCCAGCCTCACGCTTGCCTGGATTTCAGCTCAGCCTCTGAACAGCTGGAAGCCCATTCCACGGACGGCTGATTTTGTATGTGCCGATTCTTTGACAACTGCAACTCAACATCAATAATCAAATATGTAAGATCCCAGGTAAGTAGCTTAAGCTTAAGATAATTAGGTGTGTGTGTGTGTGTTTGTGTGTGTGAATCCAACAATGGCAAGGAGTAACTTTAGGGGAAAAAAAGGCAAAGGTCTGAAAAGCAATCAAGAGGAAACTTCTGTATCTCAAATAACAGTATCTACGTGCTGACGGAGAACGTAAGTATGATACAGAGGTCATAAGAACATCTTCTTGTGACTGTATCTGAAAAACAGCATTTCCACTGACAGCAAATTATTCGGGCAACTGAATTAGGGAGGAGACACAGCTCTGGAAAACAGGACAGAGTAAAAATTCCTGCCTAACGGAAGCATGGGGTGGATACAGCACTGTGTTTGCTTGCATCTGTCCTTAAACTTGATGCTCATGTCCACCACCACTTACTTGGCTGTAACAAACCTGTCGGACAGGGCTTCGCATCATTTTTGTGATGAAGTTTGAAAACGACTCCAAGATTACTGTCCTAATTGTACATAGTGTATGTGATGTATAATAATACGGCCACAATAACCTATGCAGAACAGGGGTTCACACACAGGACCAGCTTTCTGTAATCACTTCCAATCCATAAAAGCATTTTTCAGAAACAGAACATTTCATACAGTGGTCAAGGTTTTTCAGCCTCAAATATCAGAGAAATATCCCATGTCTCTCCACGAGGACATGTTGTGGCTTACTCAGGTCGACTGTGTTACCCTGCAGACGCTGGCCTGACTACAGGATCCTGGGTTCCCAAGTTCCAGGGCTTACTGAGGTGCATTCCTACACTGCCGTACAATGGTGTGCAGCTCCAGGACACACCGCCGACCAGGAGGCGGCTCTGGGAGTCCTTTTTGGTCACTTGCCAGCCTTCCTAGTTAAAAACAGGACACCACGGCCGTCCAGCATTTCTTACAGATTCACTGACCCAGGGTATCTACGGACAGTCACTCTCATGGCCAGACACCTGCTGACTGTTCAAAAGCACCAGAAACAAGACACGGAAATAAAACACTCACACCGTAAGTTGACCAGTTGTTTTTGACATTTAATTTCAGCTTTCGTAAGAATCAATTTTGGCTTCAATATTTACATCGGTAATGAACACATGCTTACCCGATGGGACACTCACGGCTTAACGCAGGCAGCTGGGGACCAGATTATGGTTTCATTTGTTTTAGGGTCTCTACTGCCACATGAGACCAACTTCTTCAGGAAACAAAAAAGAGTTACTGTGAAAAACATCAATAGTTTTTTAACTTTTTCTACCTCACTGGCAGAATCATATAGCTATTTTGATATGGATTTTCAGCAGTTCTAAACTATTGCTTTCGAAATTATAAAAATTCCATTACAGAACCACACAGACAAACAGAATCACGTTAGTTTATTCAGTGATTACTCTAAGCATATTCTTTGTTTTACTTTTCTTATAAGAAAAATTGGCCGAATCAAATAAAGAATACTGTTAGCATGTAACTATGCTTTGGGAAAAAATAAACTAAAAGGAAAAGATAAACCCGGAAACCTGGTACACCTGCACTGAGACACTGTCTCTGCAGAAATTTTCATGTTTGTCAATGTTTTATGTAGAAATTTATAATTTAAAAATGGAAGGAAATCTAAACATAGTCTTTACAAAGGGAAACCACTGCTTCCCAGTGTCCTTCTCCTTTGAGACGGAGGCTGCCTTACAAGGCTAAGAGGCTTTAACGGTCAGCATCTTGTTTTCCATCTCAAACACCTGGACAGGAAATCCAGCATATAGTTTAAACAGTAAAACTTCACACATTTTATAAAGCTAAATACAAACATGCATTGACATTTTCTACTGCCAGACGGTCAGATTTTTAAGTTGTGTTAAATATAAAAGACTAAGGATGATCTTAGGGGAAAGGCCACTTCTAATACTAATAATCACAGGAGCAGGGAGCAAGTTTGCAGCCAACATTAAAGGAAGGAAGTAGAAAGCTAAACTCCTTAGCGGATGTACTGATGTGACGCCTTGCCTGAAGCTCAGGGAACGAGCAGGCTTCCAGTGCGGACTTCCAGTGAACTCAGAACAGACTCTGTCACCTTTGCAGGGTCCCTCACCATGGACAGTGCTCAGACACAGCCTGTGTTATGCATCTGGGTAGGGAAGGCAGAGATACACTTTGCTTCTTACAAAGAATCACAATGTAATAAGTACACTCATGAAAGGTATAATTAGTCACAATTCTTAATCTCACAAAAGCTACAAGGTATGAAATTACAGTATGTTTATCTTCTTCAAAGGCGCAGCAATGTCATTTATTAGGTGTAAAAGACAACAGAGAAACGTAACTGATCCATAGAATCTTTAAACAAAATTGTGACTAGTTAATAATGGATGTTAACTTTCAAAATACAACAATGGTGCATGAGGCCGTTAAAAAAATAAAACACTGGTACAGGGTTCCCATCTATCAACAGAGACACACAATTCATGAGGAGATTTTGACACTTTGAAAACATCTTTTCTATAGATTTTTGACTGATTAAATGCAAGAAATATTTCTAATAAATACTGGGTGACCAGTTTAAAACACAAGTGACATCATGTGACTGTCTCACAATCATCTTTTGACTCAGAGTATCAGTAACTAGAAGATTTCCTTAGAAGTCAGTAGAAATGCAATTATTTCTTACATTGGCACAGACAGTACCAGAGTACTGCTTCCTATGCCCACTTCTCCTCCTATGGGCATTAATCCGCAGTGGCCAGAGGGCAAATGTGGCTTTCTGCCCCTTTCTGTCAATAAAGTGCCTTCCCTTTCTCCTCCCGGGGATTACCCAGGACCGTGGCACAGAGCCTTCCCCTCCCCGAGGTCTGAGACTGGGTCCCCAGCGGGCCTTGCACCTGCCAGCCCTGGCCACGCGCACCACCCGGGCAGCTGCTGTGAAGCTTTACAGGAACACGGCCACGCTCATCTCCATACTGTCCACCGTGCTGTTATGCTACAGAAACAGGGCCGAGCATTTCCCAAGACATCGTCTCATTCTAAAAAGCTGATTACTCACTCTCTGGTGATACAGAAAGTTTGTTAACACTTGCTCTAGGAGCTTTCCCCAGATCAATGTAAAGCAATTTAAGCCCTTTTACTTTTTGTGAATATTCTTTCTCTTCGTGTGCGTGTGTCTGTGTGCGCGCGTGTGTGTGTGTGTGTGTGTGTGTGTGTGTGTGTGTGTGTATGCCAACATCCTTTATATTTCATTTTATTTACTGGTATATATTTTGGAAACTCAACATCATGGTTGAGTTTTCATTTTCAATATACTTGGAACATAAGCATTATCCCTGGCCATAAGGTAATCGATTCTGGTCAATCAGAAGTTCTCCAGGAATTAAGAGAGCAGTTAAAAGGATTAGTCACACAGCAGCTACATGGTCAGGAAACCGCGTATGTTTATCTTGAGTAAGGAAACTGGACAGCAGAAAGAACGAAACCAAGTATACTTTAGAGTAAATACCATTAAATGGGGAAAACAGCTCGCACGTTTCAAACTACCAACGCACACACACAGGCACAGCCACCCACCCGCCATCCTCCACACAGCACAGACGGAGACCTACAGGGGCAAGTGGATTTGCTTATAAATATATTACTATTTACATATAGATACATCCATAAAAGACGTGTTAAATAATTATTTATATAATCAATACTACTTTAAAGTTTTTGTGTATCTTAAAATTACACAGTCTATTAAAATTATCAAAATAAGTGTTTAGAAATACGAGGAATAAAACCAGTGGAATCTCCCTCGCCATCGCAGTGGTTCTGACCCTTCTCACCGGGCATCCAGTCCAGACCTCGTCATCCACAAAACAGAAGAACAGGGCCATCGGGGGTTGTTAGCCACCAAAGTTTTAATACCTCCTAACAAATACGTCTGTGTATATAAAACACTTTAGTTACATTATGTGTTCTAATAAATTGGTTTTCACAAAAACACAAAATTCAAGTTTCCACCAGAATTAAATATTTTATACTGGTGAATATTTCTTTCAATTTTTAGCAGATCAATGACAAACTCTATCAGGGTAGAGATCAGAAGATTGAGACTGAAAATATGTGCATCACATGCAAGAAATGAGGAAATACCAAGGCCAGTATTTGGCCAGCGGGGTGCTGTTACGCGGGACCCCGACACAGAGACAACACACCGCCTGGTTACCGTGCGCAGCCCAGTCAGCTGTCGCTTATTCAGGGCACAATGGCCAGCCCGAACCCTTTCTTTCATCAGCTGACCACTGTCTCCTGACACGCCTGGCTTTGGCTGTGTATTAGCAGGTCGGGTAAGTGGGGGTTGGGGGCTAGGAAGCAGGTTCTGCCTAAAACGAAGCTTTGCAGTCAGTAAAGGATTTAACTTAGTAATGGACTCCTTCTCCTCACTGCTTTAGATACCTAAAGTCAGCTTACTGTCCCATTCTTTTTTTTTTTTTAATTTTTTTTTTTTTATTTTTTTTTAAATTTTATTTAAGGAGAAAAGAAAAAAAAAAGCAGAGAAAGGGTACAAGTTATACAGATTTGCAGAAAAAAATGAACAGTAGGAAATCACTAGTTAATGAATTACATACTGTCATCTTAGAAATAATTGTTCAAGTCACAAAATTAAAGCTTGTAAAGTGGACATTCCATCAATGATACTGCAAACAGTTCTGTTCAATGATCCAATAAAACTCTGTGATATCATATTCTATCTTATACACTTAAATATACATGCAGTTATATAGCTTAGAGCACTTTCTTTTCCTCTCTTTTGTACAATGACTATTACACATTTTGGGTTTCATTGCTCTCACGGTTCTTATTACTTTTTTGGAAGAGAGTAAAACCAAATGTGACATAACAGAACAGAATCGGTCAAGTCAAAAGGGTGGACATAATAGATAATGTGAAAACATAATACAAGGTGATCAACAATGGTTACCATAATGCCTCCCGCTATCTCTAATAGAATTGCCTATATCATTAGTTATAATACAATTGAACAAAACAGTAAAGAACAAAACCGACAAAGCCAAACCATTGGAGACATTGTAGGTCTTCAAAAGTAGATAAAAGTCAACGAGAATGGGCGTTATAATGAATCTCATTATCTTCACAGCTGATGCCTAAATTTTCGAACCTGATACTATCCAGCAAAACAGAATAGGGGAACATCAGTCAAAAACCAGATGGTGAGAGTAATACAGGGCTTTAAATCGAGGTAATGGAAAGTCAAAGTGGGTTACTATAATATATCCTGCTATTTTTTTCCTTTAATTAAAAGGATAAAAATTTTTTAAAAAGTATTAAAAAAGTAAATAATGGAGTGGAGATTGAGATAAAAGAGGGCATAACAACAAAACAGCACAGATCAAATCATAACCATTTAAGCAGAATAGTGTTTCACCACCAGATAATCCTGACCTAAAAGTAGTTACCATATTGTCTCTTTCCTTGAAATCCTTGAGTACAACTTCATATATTGTAGCATTAAGTATATCAAAACAATGTAAAACCATTTAAGAGAATGACAGCATTACAGAGTTTTTAGAATCGACTAACAGAAAATGAATAATGGTTTCTGTATAATCTCCTTGTCTTTAAAAGGTTTTTGCTTATACTATTGTACATAATAAAATCCAGTACGATACAACCTATTTAGACCATTGGAGACAGAAGGACAAAAGCTAGATGAGACTTCAAAACAAGATGATACTAAATCAGTATTACCTATTAAGATGTCATTTTCTCCAAAATAGCTGTTCCTATCATCCAATCTTCTCTGCCTCATTTCTGTTGAGCTCTTATTCTGTCAGTAGCTGTCAGTTTGTCTTCTTCACTTTGTTCTCTGCTCCATTAGTCGTGGCCTCCACTATTTCTGGATTCTTTGTATTTTTTCTTTTTTTAGAATATCCTGCAATACTCTCTGTAGAGTTGAATTGGTGGTTGCAAATTCCCCCAGTTCCTCTTTATCCTGGAAGCACCTTGTTTTCCCATCAATTTCCAGGGACAGTTGTGCAGGATATCTCAATCTTGGCTGGAGATTATTATCTTTCAAAGCTTGAATTATTTCCCCCCACGCTCTTCGTGATTTGATGGTTTGTGCAGAGAAATCTGCTGTAATTCTGATGGGTGCTCCCTTGTAAGTGGTCTGTTTCTTGTCTCTGACAGCTTTTAATATTCTGTTCTTGTATTGAATTTCTGGAGTTTTTATTATTATATGCCTGGGTGTTGCTCTGTTTGGGTTGTAGGTAGCTGGGGTCCTGTATGCCTCATACATCTGAGTATCTTTACCTTTTGCTAAATTAGGAAAATTCTCCTGGATTATTTCTGTGAGTAGCTTTTGTAGTTCATTTGTTTGTGTCCCTACTTCTTCTTTTATGTTCTTAATCCTTAAGTTATGGATCCTCTTATCATCTTCTTGTCTTTGTATTATTGCTGTTTGTTTCTTTGTTATTTTTAAGAAGTTTTTCATTTCATTCTCCCATATTACAATTCTGCCCTCCAGTTCAGATAGTCTGTCCTTAGTTTCTTTCAAGCTGTTATGCCAGTCTTCGATAGACTTCTTAGTTTCTTGGTAGCCCCTTTGAACCTGCTTCACGTATTCTATGCTTTCCCTGTTTTCTCCATCAAACAATTCTCCCCTCTTTTTCTGTTCTTCCATTCCACCATCTGTTTTTTCTTGGGTGGGGCTTAGCATTTCTCTAACTATTTTGCATACTTCTAGCTTCAGGTCGTTGATAACTTCATTCCTGAATTGGTCTATGAGGCTCTCTATATGGTGCTTTATGTGTATTGGTGCGGTGTCCGCTATTGCCTGTTTCTCAGAATTGGGGGCCGAGGAGCCTTTCTTGTTGCTGCCTCTTCCCATATTCTCTGTTCCTTATATATGCAAGCTTATATGAGAGGCCCAGCTTCTCTCCCTGTCAGCCACAGCCTGATCGAATTGCGCCGGTTAGGTGTTCCCACTCACCGCTGCGCACCAGGGAGCCTACGCGGGGGCCCGCCCCTCCCGGCCTCCGTCAGGCTCTGCGATCTGGGTTGGGCCAGCCTACAGGGTCCGCCGGCAGCGTCACGCAGGCCAGGCACTTTTCACCAATCCCGCCCGAGAGGGGAATGTGTGGCTGGAGTCGCCAGCGCGCCCTGCTCCCGCAGGACTGCTCGGGCCCAGAAAGTCCTCTGCTGGAGTCAAACTGTGGTGGAGTGTCAGTTTCTCTCACTCACCTCGCCACAAGTCAGAACATGCCTCCCTGCCCGTCCTGTTTTCGACTCCGTTCGCAGATTGCCGTTCTCAGAGCTTCTGCATCTCTCTCCTTGCCAAGCTGATGTAGAGGCAGCCAGCCACCGCGCAGCGGGAAACCCAAATCGCGGCTTCCAATGGCGCAGGGTCCAGCCTCAGCAGCGAGACTTTTCTGTTCCTGTTTTAGCACCAGGACTGCATTCCAAGTTGGTTTCTCTCAGCCGAGTTCGTTCCTGAGTCAGCAGAGCATAACTCCACCTGCTTATGTCTCTTTAGTCCGCACCATACCTGGCTTCTGAGCCTAGTTTTTCAGAGAGCCTCTGGTAGTTGCTGTTATCTGTCCGCCATGTTCTCCCGGAAGCTTACTGTCCCATTCTTAAGCTCTGAGAGCAATGTTGGTGCTTCCAAAGAAAAGGGGGCAAACTGTCCTCTTGACATAAGCAAAGTGCTACTTCCTAAAGTACAATTAACCAAACCGAACAGATCTGCTGTGGGCATTCAGAGCTATTTACCTTCAGGACGCGTGATGGCAGTATATGCTATTCCAAAATATAAGGATAAACAGTCACCTAAAAATATTAGAAGGTCAAACATAAAGTCATATTCATTTAACCTAAGAGCTCATTTAAAACCACTCAGTAAAGTTTAGCAATCTTCAATTAAAATGCTCAAATGAAGCAAATGGAACCCAAACCTACATGTACAATTTAGAGGTAATTTCAAACTACAATCCTTTAAAACATGACTAAATTGAAAGGTAACACACAGCGGTAACCCTATTTTTGGCACCCATTTTGCCTGGACATTTAAACTTGCTCTACAGATAATGAACGACAAAAATCAAGAACAGTTTCACAAGTGAGTAGGGTCATCCTGCACAGACACCATTCAGAATGGTTTGTGCGGCTTCACCCGCAGTAACTTGGGTACAGAAGCGTAGCACACTCACTTCAAGCACAACAGCAATAATTGTGTAGAACATCACTTTCCTGAATTAAGTTTGCTGAACATGGTTCAGATTATTGGATATGTCAATATGCACAATGCCTTTTAGAAGCATTTACTGTATACCCAAATCCTACTCCATGCAACACACAGTGTCACACAAGTAGTGAAAATGTTATCCTAGTCAAAGATGCTTGGACATTATTTTTCAGGCAGCATTTTACCTTTATTTTAGTAAAGTTCACACTAGGTAAGTTTTAGAAGAAAAAATGCCAATAAATTTAATATGTTTTAATATAGTATATAAAACTAAGACAGACACTTTTCTTTACCTAAATTATTACTTTTACTTTCTACTCTATTGTAAGACCTCAATTTTATTTTAAAAATTTGTATTTAAATAAGGGATAAAATGTTGCCCAAAAGTCTAATTGTAGTTACACATTTGTGTTTTCAACTAGATCTACAAATCAAAATATTTCTTATAGTTAAAAAGATACAATTTGTATCAACAGTAAAAGGTACTTTCTGGTTTTTCAGGGCTTTACTTCACACTGTACGTGCAGAATAATCCAAAAGACTGGAGCATCCAGGCAGACCACAGAACCAGCCCTGAACGTGTCACACGGGGTAAACTCAGGGTCTCACGGAAACCAGTCACACTTCTGTCTGCCACTAACCGCAAAACTCATCTTCCAATCTGCAGAAATGTAACTGCAATAAGCAAAACCCCTGAGTTTGAAACCAGAAATATCCCTTACTAATACTAGAACAGACAGCAGTCTGTGTCTAAAACTACACTATTTGTGGCAAGAGTCTGGCCTTAATAATATAACAGGCCCTCAAAAAAACTACCTTCAGGAAAATGGAAAATATACACTATCTTACAAAAAATTTAAGTTACCATTTACAACTCCTCATCACTATTTCTATAGTGCAGTAGCAATAAATGTTGCATACCCTCAACACACAAAACCATCTCAGGCCAGCCTTGATAAACAGCAGGAAAGCTAGAGTATATTAAATATAAAATTGCATTGAGAATACTTAGATTCATTAAAAACAGGCAAGTACTGTGAAAGTTATTTATCCAGTATTATTGTGCCCCAAAACAAAAAACAAATGTTAAAATTACAAATTAATGGGAATCTAGGAATTCAATTCCATCTCCATAGAAGCACATCATAGCTGGATAATCAAGCACTAACTGTAACAGTTACGGCTTTTGCCTTACTCATTTTTAAAAAATGGAAACAATTTTTTCCCACTGATTGCATCTGCTTTCTTTTAAACTGACCGTTAAATTATCTGATTTCTTAGTGATAAAAAAACAAGAAAAGCCAAAAAAAAAAAAAAAAAAAAAAAACAAAAAAAAAACAATAAAAGTGCCACACTGTAAATCATTCTAATACATGTTACCCTTTCAGCATAAACTGGTAACTTAGATTTTGTTTAACACACAAAGTCAGTGCTGTAGTATATTTTTGTTTCTATAAATAATTATTATAGGACAGAGAAGCCCACTTTCCCCAAATAAAAATAACTTAAAAAGCTGTAAAAGATTCTAATTAAGCTTGGCTTGAAAACTGTTCTGCGGGTCTAGTTAAAGGTCCCACGTTCTGAAGGTGCTGTAATTGCTTGCAATTGACAGACAAACACCAAGTTAATAAAACATGAAACAAGAATAAAAAGTGCTGCGTATAAACCCCTGATGCACCAAAGATTAATATCAAAGATCACAGATACAGCTATTAAATCAAACTGGATAAGTTTCCAGCCAGAGATATACCTTCAAAAAAGAAATGTTAAAAAAAAGTTAGAATGTGAAGCAATCCTGATAGTTCCACCCGTGGGCTGCACATACAGATTCCATGATACAGTATTTCACATAAATGGATACTATTTAACCTCCTTGCTGAGAAGGAGATCACATGTGCTATTGTAGCAAACCTCCTTCAGCATTTGAGCTGAACAAAAAAACTATTAAACACCACAAAGATGCATCATCTTTCAATAACCCAGCTGTGATTTCTCCACCAGAATGGCTGCAGCGAGTTGCTGGGCGTCTGTCATGTGAGGGTTCCTTTTCATGACGATTTTCACAAGGTCGGGGGGGAAGATGTTGCACAGGTTGATGTAGACCTTCTCGCGGCTGTCCTGGTACCTCGGAGGCTCTTGTGGCATTCCGCAGTACGGGATCCGCCAGGCGGGCTCCTGCTGCTCGGGCAGGCTCTGGAAGGTGAACTGCTCGTAGCACGGCGGGGTGGAGGTGTCAGGCAGGGAGTAGGTCTGCCGGTACCCATAGGCATCCGCCCCGAAACCCGGCCTGTCCCAGCTGCCCAGCCCCTCGTGGCGGGCGTAAGGCTTTCTCTGTCTTGAAGGAGAACTGTCATAGAGTCGCGAATCGGAAATGCTGTCTATTCTCGTGGCCATGAGGGACCTCCCGAGGTGGGGCGCCTTGGAGTGTGCGGAACTTGGAGGAGAGGGGTACTCCCCAGGACAGCTGGACCGGGCACTCACGGCGGGGTGCTGCAGGTGCACAGCCAAGTGCGGCAGGGGCGGCTTGGGCTGGAACTTTGGTTCTTCGTGACTGTAACTTTGCACTCTGGTCACGGGGTCGTGGAAGCTCTGCAGGAAAGCCTGGGAGTTAAGGCGGCTGTGCGGGTGCATGTGCTGACACTTGAGGCTCTCCTCCAGCTGCGGGTCGGGAGAGCTGACGTAGGAGCGGTCGCTGAAGCCCACGTAGGAGTCGCTGCTCCCGCAGCTCATGCTCCCTTCACTGCTGCAGTCCGAAGCCACCGAGTTGATCCTGTAATCTGTGTCGAGTGAGAAACGCCTTTCGGGACTCCGCGGGCCTGAGATGCTCAGGTTCGAGTATGCATTCAACATGGAGTAATATCCAACGTCAACAGGTGAGTCGCATTTTGGATACTGCTCATAAGGCATTGGCGTTCCATGGTTTTTGGTTGCCATCATCATGGCGGGGTACTGTCCCTGTGCTCTCTGCTCCTGAGGTGGGAAATGAACTCCAGATGGAAGGCCATTGCTTAACGGTGCGGTGCTTTGGGGTTTTGCAGTAGAAGAAGCCGGTATACTCACCAAGGAAGGCACAGACCTGGTTTCCAGTTTGTTTTTGGTGGGAAGCTTTTCCTCCAGGTCTTGCGTCCTTATGCTGGGATCTGACTGCCTCTTGGGCGCGCCTCGCTTGCCATCGGAAGTGCTGTCGGCTTTCGTGCTGCAGGGAACGCTGTTGCTTTTCACCAGTCCCCCTTCATTTGCGGTTTTGGCCGCTGTGCTTCTGGACATGGCGCGAAGCTCGTCAGCCACCGAGCGCTGCGGCTGGCTGCCCCTCTCGGGGTGGTAGTACTTGCACTTGTGTCCGTAGGTGCACTTCTTGCCTACGAGAGGAAAACCGGTTAGGCGGAGAAGCACGGCGCCGGCTCCTGGAGAGCCAGCGTGGCTCTGCTGCTCTCCCTGCGCCAGCAGCAGAGGCGGAAACCGCGATGAGCCAAGCTCCTGTTTCTTACCCCCAAGAGGCATCACTTTTCAGACTGCACATCCTTCCTCCCTCGGGCAGTAAGAGGCTGCTGAGTGACCACCCCGGCAGGGGCTGCCGGCTAACGCCCCGCCACGTCAGTTACACCTGCCTCTTCCCACAGGGTTTTGTTATTAGCGGGAAGTTTTGTTTAAAGAGGACCTGCACTGCTGTTACGGGACAAAGCCATGTTCATTTCATCTGAGTCTAGATGGAAGAATTCTAAATTCTCACCCCGAAACCAACGCCATGCAGGATTTACTAATCTCAAATCCTATCTGAATCCAGGGATGTGCATGCGCATGGAGCCCAAGCAATTAAAAACAATTCTTCTCCACAGCTAAGGAATTTCTTAAATTGAATTACAGTCAAAAGAACCACATTCTCTGCCACCCCACACCATCAATGCTTGTTTTTACTGATAAAGTTTAACAACATATTGTGTACTAACGGTTAAGTATCTGTAAACAGTTACCATATGGACAAGGCTGCTTTTTGTACTCAGGGACGATGGGTCTCTTCCTCAGGAAATTATCCAGACTGGGGCCGTGTCTGCCAAGCGGGTCATCAGGCGGCATGAACCTGTTGGGGTGACAAAAACGATGCCTGAGCAGGAGGCCACAAGTCTGTAGACAGAGTTCGAGGATTCAGTCCCTCTAACGGACATTTTTGAAATTCTAATCCAAGTTTCGATTCAACACTGAAAAGATAAGATTAGTACATGAAGCACTCCTTTCTTAAGACAAAATAAGACGTTTTAAGGTGAACTTCCACTTGTTTTAATTCAAGTCAGTTTTGATCTAGCATATTCCAATTAATTTTTCTCTTTTTTGTCTTGGGATTTTAGAAGAACTTTAGGAAATAATTACAGGACATTTTCGGAGAGCTCTGGAAATATCGGCATCGGGGAGCAGTACGGAGCAGGAAGGAGGGGAGGAGCGGCGCAGGGCCGCAGGAGGACAGACGGCCGGACCCCAATCGTTTGTCGTCTGCTTTACGCACGAGGTGGATAAACTTTCCTGATTTAGATTCGGAAGAACCAAGTAATGGTTAGCATGGTCTGTCTCTGTTCTACTTTCCTCCCACTACAAAATGGACTTAACCACCGAGAGAAAAACACCTTGATGAAGTCAGCTCATTTTAGACTAACTGTCCAGTGGAGTGTGCATAACAAATAAAGTCCTGACTAAGGAATTCCAATTTTCCTACGCATTATGTTAATGTCTGAAATAAGCACACATATTTACCCACCAAATAAGAATGCAAGTAATGTATAAACTCATAGGGGAGTCAAAATGGCTACGAAATAACATTTAGCAAGGAGTACAGTGTTGTTATTATAAAATAATGTCACAAGGTTGAAAGATGGATGACCGTCACCCAGTCTCACAATTCTAATAATATTACATGCAACGTGTTTTTCTTTGTCTTTTTGAGACAGGATCTCACTATGCAGTTCAGGCTTGCTGTCGGTTCATGTTGTAGCCCAGGTTGGTCTCAAATTTGCATCGATTCTCTTGCCTCAGCCTCTCCAAGGCTGGGCACCACACCCGGCTTTGTGCTGTCTTTGTAAAATGAGAATGTTTTCCCACCTTTTACAGCCTCCATAGTAATTCTGGACAGATAAATAATATTTCAGTAGGATATGTAAGTTTATTGATCTCTCTGTTGTATGTTTAGCTGCCTTTGAATGGGGCTGGGGATTTAGCTCAGCGGCATAAGCGCCTGCCTTGCAAGCAGGCGGTCGTGAGTTCGATCTCCGGTACCAATAAAAAGTAAAAAGACAAAAAAAAAAAAAAAAAAAAAAAAAGAAAAGAAAGAAATACAGAAATGAATGCATCAGATCTTTTTCTTATATTGTCCAAGAACAGACATTATTGGGTTGAGAAGGTAAACACTTTAACTTTGATAACCTCTGCTAAATTGTGTATCAGTTTACACATAGCTTTTTAAAAAATCAGTACATGTATGTAGCCTGTAATTTTTACATTCCTTACGGGGAGTTGGTACACGTTCACAACACACTTGCACCCCTTTTCCATGCCCGTTCCCCTCCCTTCCTTGGCCTCCCTCCGTGTCACAGTCCCCTTTCCTCTCTTTTTGTGCATATTTGCGGTGCACAATGTGTACATTCCTTGTGTGTAGTTGTACATGCACATGGTTCAGCTTGATTCCTGTTCTCATCCTGTCTCTCCCTTCCCTCCCCTGGGCATGTAAAAATGTCTTTGTGAATTAAACAGATAGTAAAATAAACACTTTAGATTCAGACTGCATTTCTACATGGCTGTAAACACTTCTCACAAACAACCTTTCTCGTGGTTTTGTCCATTCATCGATTTGTATTCTATGATGATGACTAGAATCTCACATTTCTGTGGTAACTTAAACAAACAGGTATGTATTAAGTTATTTGTTTTTGGTGGGAAGCTTTTCCTCCAAAAGCTTTGTTTTTGGAGTCCAACTTGGGTTGGAAAGGTGGCTTTTGGGGGGCTGACTACAGAACCTGCTCTTCTGCCGGTTGCTGAGGGCTCCTCGGGAGGCTGTGAAGCCTCTGGGCAGGCCTCTGCCAGCGGGGGCCTGCGCTCACCTGGCCTCCTGCAGTCTGCAGTCTCCTGATTCCCCCTGACGGCTGGCGGGCAGATCAGCTGGCAGAACCCTGACTGGGCCCAGCCCCTGGCAACAAGGGGAGGCCACACGGCAGCCCAGAAGGGGACAGTCAGCGGCGGGTCTGCAGCGGCAGTGGCGGTGGTTTACTTACTTGTCGTTGACGAAGGAGTACATCAGCAGCCGCTCGTCGATGAACCTCTTCCACTCCGGCTTCTCATTGGCCAGGTCCCGGTAGTTATCGTTGGACACAATGATGCCGTCCGACTCGAAGGCCAGCTTCACGATGAACCTGTCGTCGTAGCACACCACCCGCCTGCCCTGGACTCTCCGGGACGGCGTGAACACGAGGATCTTCTCCTTCTCTAACTTGCGTAAAATCTCCTGATCTGCAGGAATAACAGGAGTGGAACTCAGGGCTACAACGTAACACCCGGCCAGGTTCGCACGTGGGAGCTTCCCCATGAAGGACAAGCCACGTAATCGTTTAATTAGAGTGTGAGTTATATTTTATAGACTTAGTATACTCTGTAACTTTCATTTTAGGAATTTCAACAATACTCTAAAAGTAGTTTGAAATCTGCAACACGACTAGGGAACTGCGACTCTCATCCCCGAAGCCTTGGCCTCTCCAGAGCAGAGCCAGGCCCTGCCCCGGGCTCCGCATCCTGGGCAGTGACACCGCCCGAGGCGGCTGGGCAGCGCCCAGGTGAGCAAGCAGGTGCCGCCCTCCCAGGACCGTGCATTTTGGGGGGATTCTTTCTAAACGGATGCAATGGGGAGAACCTGAACAGTGCAGAAGTAGTGGAGGCAGCAAAAGGAACAAATTTTAAAAAGCAGCAGCGAGGCCCGAAGTGCTGTCACACGGCCTGGCCGCCGCACGCTCTCGTCTGTTCTGAAAACTGCAGCAACAAATGGCGGCTGCTAACTTTTTAAAAATTCCACCCTAACGATTCCTCGTGTCTGCTGCGCTGTGCTAGGCATCAGGGACACGGAGGTGAAGACGACCTCTCCGAGGCGCTCTCCCTGTCAGACGCAGGGAAAGCAGGGACACAGCAGATGCCACACTCCGCAGGGGTGGAAGGGTGGCGCAGCCGGCACCCGCCGGCTTGCTGAGGATGTTTCTGAGCAGTGCGTTCAGTTAGAATGCTGGTTTAGAAAAGCGAAGCAAAGACCAGTGAAAGAAATGTGGGCAACAGGGTCAGCACACCGTGCTAAGTCTGAGGTCTGCCATCTCCCTCGTGGGCAGCCCCAATCTCACCGCGCCTGCCAACGCGGCCAGCGTCAGCCAGCCGACATCCCCAGACAGAGCCACGCGCAGGCCTGGAAGCCGGGAACCAGGGCTTCAGCTTGATTTTCATTGTTGAGCTCATTCATTTAAACCACACAAAACAAACACAATCAAAGGCCCAGATTCAATGATAGAATCCGTCCCATTAGAATTCCTTTGTGTGTTTTTCTGATAAACATTTTGGGGACAGGCACCATGCCTCACTGAGCGTATATGTTGCCCGGAAAACACTTAGTACATGCTCAATAAACGCTTATGGAATAAATGCATAACTGAACCACTCAAAGATGCCGCTCGGAAGCCTTTGGTTTATTCACGAGTGATGCGGGGTGGCGATCTTGGCTGTGACGCCTTGAGGCTAAACAAAGAGACCGGAGGGGGAGCCTGCAGCCCGACGGGCCCCATCTCACCTTGCTTAATCTGCACTTACAGGACAGTTAATGGGGTCGAAACGACACAGACACAGTTCCAACTTGCATGCAGTTTCCTTACAGCTAGTAAGTTAGTGCAGCTAGGGCTCGTTAAGTATTTGTTAAATGAATGAAAGATTAGGGAAAGCGCTAGTCTAAGTTTACGACTCTGAAAACTAACTTTTTTTTAATCGAGTCTTTTTTTTGGTGCAATGAGTCCTGGACTATTTGATTTATCAGATGTTATTTGGTTGAGGCCTTTACTCAAGAAAATTATTACCTTGGGGGAGAAAACCTTTCACAATCTCTGACCACAGTTCTGGCATTTTTCAAAGTGCGCTGTGCTGCGGCGCTCAGGGCCGCGTGCCGGGTGCTGCGTCAGACCCGGCCGGCCTCACGCTGGGCAGTGCTGCTCTCTCTAAGAGCTCACACTCCTTCCCGCTCAGAGACTGCAATCCACTAACATAAACCCTGCTCTTCGTTTTTAATCATCTCCACCCTCAACTATCAAAGTATTCCCAGGTCCGTGTAGACAATTAGTAAAGTAAGATTACTGAGAAACAGGGAGAAATACAGGCTCCTAACCCCAGCTCCCAGCAAGGCTGCTGGCATCAGCCTTTCCCTTCTGGCCACTGGCGTGGTTTTTCTTTTTACTTGTCACATATATATGGGATAATAAAACCTGACTTCTATGGAACACACACTTATAGTGAAAATTCTGCCTAAACATTCTAATATACATTCTATTATACAGACGTGACTTAACTTATTGAACCCTTCTTCAAACAGAGTGTATAATATTTTTCTCAAAATAACACTGAATGAATGTCTTTGGTTATAAACATTTGTCTGTATTTCTGCTTACTTTTGGGGGAATTTATTTCCAAAATGGAGCTAGTAGATCTAAGAGTACAACTGTCCGCCCTCACCCACGGGCATGTGTTTCAAGACACCCCCTCCCAGTGGATGCCTAAAAACATGCAGTATTAAGCCACATATATGTATATATAAGGCTAGTGCTCATTAAGCATTTTTTAAATGAATGGGAGATTAACAAAAGTATTTCTCTGAATGTACAATTTAAAAACTGTAACATTTTAAAATATGGGGCTGGAGATACAACTCAACGGCACAAGCACCTGCTGGCAAGCACAAGGTCCTGAGTTCGATTTCTGTACATGTATATGTAAATAACAACACCAAATGTCACCAGCTGTTGCCTGTGAACTGTGGTGTGTGAGGCCTTCACTTCTCCCTGTTTCTTAGGCATTTCACTTCCCTAACACCACACACACACACACACGCGCACACACACACACACACACACACAAACGCACACGCATGCACCACACACAGTGTTCTCCTCTACTCACTGACTTATCGTAAAGTGCAATTTATAAAGCAGGCAAGAAAAGATGAACAAGAATAAGGGTAAAAGTGAACAATTATAACAATACAACAAATTATTAGAGATCTTATCAACATCAGCATATGATTTGTTTTTTTTCCTTATTGAGAATTTGTATCTTTTCACTTGCAAGAATTTACAGTTTCTGATTGGCACACCTCAAGTGCAGCACACTCTTGAGCTTCGGGGCCGGTGTTAGTGACGAAGGAGTCCTCTGAGCACAGACGCGACACCAGTCACTCTCACAACCTGCAAAGGCTGCCGAGAGCCGAGCAACGGGATGAGCCAGGCCCCAGCGGAAGGGGCGGTGGCAGGAGATCTCAGCACATGGCCTGGAGCAGCTTAATCCAAAACGCATCACTACGCATTTCTGGAAGTCTCCGATTGGTATCCGGGACCACAGTGGACTGGGGGTAAATGATGGGAAGAGAACCTGTGCGAAGGGCGGAGCTCTGTGCTTCCACTTTAAGGTCAAATGTTTCCCAGAAGGTCCGAACAGTTTGTGCTGTCACACAAGTATATTAGTGGCTTCCTCTGGACACTGAAGGTGATCGATTTTAGGCTTATTTCGATGGGTGAAAACCAACAATTGTCCAGAGCTGCATTTATTTACTGGTGCTGGACTTTTCCCTCCTTACTCAGCACGCCAGAGTTGTCTAATTCTCATTATTTTAGCCATTTGGATACTAGTAATAGCTTTGTGCTTCTCAATCTGTGTGATTTAAAAAAGTCTCGACCAGTATATTCTTCTAAAGAATTACTCCAGCACTTTGGTCTATGGCTTGAACACGCTGGCTCTTTACTTTGCTTTTTTACCCCCTTGGTTTTTTGAGCCAGGGCCTCCCTGTACAGTGCTGGTTGACCCTGCACTCACTACGTAGCCCAGCCTGGCCCTGAGCTGCAGTGACCCTCCCGTCTCAGCCTGCCCAGTGTGGGTCACAGGCGGGTGCCATCAGGCCTGGCCCCCACTAGGTGGTGTTGTCAGGCTGTGGTCCGGGCCCGGGCTCTGGATGGCACCATCACTGTCTTAGCCATCTCATTCTAATTTAACAGTGTGTCCATAACTGCAGATAAAATAAAAGTCTCAGAATAATCTTCCTTTCTTACACAGTAGATGATCTCTTCTGATCTGCTCTCGCCACACACGCTTTCCAGGGTTTCTGTGAGCAGCACAGGCAGAGAGAAGGACACAGCGTGGATAATGACTGGGAGTGACTAAAGCTGAACAGATTGTTCAAGACAATCACAGGAACATCCTTCCCTGAAACGCACACGGGATAACATGAAGCCCAGACGCCAGGACTGGGGTCTGGTGGCTTCCTCCTTCCTGAGGACAGAGAGTACACCAGGGTTACAGGCTTTTCTGGCTGGGAGCCCCGAGAGCGCACCAACCACCCAGTCTAATACGATGTGGCCCGGGAGCAAAGCGGGGTTCGAGCACATTCAGCGTTGCTCAGAGTCCTGCGGTTAGTACACAGAAAGCGAGAAGGGGTTTCCTCACTGTTCGCATATTCTGAAAATCTCTTCTCTGTTTGTGTTGAAGATGGAGCCCAAGGCCTGCAACCTTTTAATTCTGAGACAAGGTCTTGGTAAATCACTTGAATTAGTGATCTTCAAGGTGCTGGGATTACGGGCCTGTACCAACCTGGCCAGGTAGAATTCAAAACGTCTAAAGTCAGCCTTTCCGACATAAGTGAGAAAACCTGATTTATACAGCACAGATGAGTGTTTAGGTAACACAGTAAGGAATCTTCAAATTCAAAGACAACTTTAATTTTATATCCAAGAGAATGCTGAAGTCACACAGATGAAGTAGACAGAAACACTGAGAACACCCGTGTGCCAGGTGGCACCTGCACAGGTGTGACGCGGAGGGGCGACAGGCAGCTGCCTGCGGTGAGCTCACCTGTGATGAGGGCGTCGGGCCGGGACTGCTCCTTCCTCCACGCAGGGACAAACACAGTAACGTCTTTGTGGCCTCTTTCCACAAACCAGTCCACGGCCAGTTTTATTCCTCGACAGGAAAATACTTCCTTATTTCCGTGGCTGAAAGATTATTTTAGAATAGTTAAAACACAACCAAACCTAAAGTCAATCTAATTAGTTCATGTTTATAAACAGGAATGATCATCTGACTACACCAGCAGAATGAGACAACAAGTTTAAGGTGGATTTGGAGTTCAAGGTAGAATTTCTCAGAGAAATTCTAAAATTCTAAAAAATCAAAATCTATGAGAAAAGTGAAGAAAGTTAAAATGACCACATGCAGAGAATAAGGAAAAGTTCTGAAATGTAAGGCTGGAAAGGTTAACTAGTCAGAAAGATACAAACTCTTTTTGACCAGTGAAGGGTAAAAAAAGGGCTTTAACCAAAAGAATTTCAGTCAAATATCAGAGAGTCAGGCAGCAAAAGAGTCTGTACAAGCAGTGGCATGAACGCTTATGAATTTCAAAACCCTTTTTCTCCCCGCGAGTTCTTCCGTGTGTGCACAGCATCTCAACCCGGATGAGATCCGGATGTGTTAGGAGACGCACGCTCACCGACAGGAGCGACAGGCCCTCAGGCGCCACCTCCCACGACCAGCGCTGCCCCTAACTCCTGAACAGTGCTGCGCAGGACAAGGCTCGCTGATGACAAGGGCTTCCAAGACTGGACTAGGAGTCCTGGTGCCTAAAACAAGACGCCGGCCCAATTCAGTAAGTATTTACTAAGCACCGGGCTCTGCTCAAACAGTTTAACTGGTAATTCAAGTATAACTTATTCCAGCCTCCGTAAAGACAAATTCCTGCTTTGAATGTAATTAGTTGCCCTGTTTCTTCAGTTTCAACTCTGATGGCTCTATTTCTTATAGATATTTTTTCTTCTATGGAATAAGGTCTCAGTAAAGTAATGGAGGTAAATGCCTTTTTAAATGTCAGCATAAATCAAACACTGGCCACACTGATACACTGTTTCAGGGTCCCCAGGAAGCACTGGAGCCAGCTAACATGATAATGGCTTTTACTGGGAAACAGAAATGAAGCCCTTCGATTCAGGCACGTGGAGGGTGCAAATGCGGACCCTGGTTCTGCAGACGCCCCAGTGGCTGAGAGGGAGATGGGAGGGGAAATCAGAGGGCCTGTCTCCGGAGAGGTGAGGGAAGGGACAGTCTGAGTCCCGTCCCTAGGTAAGAGTGTGCCCGAGAGCCTCCAATGCTCTGCAGATGGTACAAAGGGGAACAGTGAGACTGAATCCACCTTCCGAAAGGCTACAGAAAAGGACACAGAGCATGTATAGCAAATGTCCCCAAATACACCCAACTTGCAAAACTCTCACGGTAGTTTTGGTTTACATTAGTGCTTTGAAATCTAATATGTTATGCTTTCTAGTAAACTAATAGTATTTGGCTTACAGAAAACTGACAATTTAACTGCTCTGGCTTTAAAGACAGATTTGTATATGCATTTTGTTTTTGGCAATTTTGTTTGTTAGGGGCAACTGTCACATTTACTCACTCTAGATTTCATCTATTTAAAGAGCCTCCATAAAATGTGCACAAACAGTAGACCACAGATTCTACAGATGCTAAAACAGGAAGCTGAACCATGAGATTCCGAAAATAAAGATGCTTCTCATTATCCCCTCCGCTCCCTCTTCAAAGTCTCACAGGAAGAAAGCAGGCGTGACGATGAGACACTGCACATGTGAGCGGCAAACAGGAAAACATAAACAGCCCGAGCCTCTGAACAGATGGACCCGTGTCTGCGTCCAATCTTGCTGTGAGAAAAAAGTCCCCCACTTGTTTAAGCAACTAGAGTCACATTCTCCTTTTGTAGCTGAACACATCCTCAACTGTCACACAAAGTACATCAAAACCCAAAGAACACTGGTACACTATCAACCTTAGTGTTTAAAGCAAAAGACATGACAGAAGTGTGATCACACAGCAGTAAGAAAGGAACAATTCACAGGATGTCACAGAAATTCTGCACTCTGTATTAGTACGAAACAAGGTCCCAGGACTACTGGAAGAAATCAGTGAACCCACAATCATACTGACAAACGAAATAAAAAGATTTAACAAGGATACAGATGATAGGAATACTCAACTACAAGCTCGATCTAACGGACATACACAAATCCTGCACAAAATAAGAACAGGCTGCACATGCCTGTAACTCTGATGACTGCGATGTCTCAGGCAGGAGGACTGGAAGTTTGGGGCCAGCCTGGGCAATTTAGCAAGATTCTTTTTTTTTTTTAAAGAGCTGAGACATACGCAGCTTAGTAGAGCACTTGCCTAACGTGCCACCAGTTTTGTTTTCAAAGGCAAAGATATGAACAGGCACTGCACAGAAGAGGAAACCCAAGAGACCAATAAACATGTGAAGAGATGCTCCATAGTAGAGAAATGCAAATTAAAGCCAAAATGAGACATCACTTCACACACACAAAATTGGTAAAAATAAGTCCGCAAACACCAGATGTTGCCAAGGATGTGTGAAAGTAGGGACTCATTCATACATTACAGGTGGGAGTACAAATTGGTGCATTTGGGAGAGCCATTTGGCATGCTTTCTACAGTTGTAGGCATGCTCTCTCTAAAACATGGGCCTTCTACGTCCAGGTAGAGTTAAACCCCCACAGAAATACGAAATTACATTTAACGCAGTTAGCAACTGGCTCTCATTCTCTGCCTAGCTTTAGATTTCACATGGGACATCTCCATGTTTCTGTCTCCTACAGAAGGGAAAGATAGGCAAGTGGTGGCGTACACAGGAGTCCCTGTCTCTTCCAGGATTTTCCCAGCTACCCCACCTTTGCCTCAAATCAGGCCAAGAACCGCATGAGAACCAGGGCACCTTAAAATGGCTGGGGTAGGCTTGGTAGTCACTGTAAGCACCAAGACTCAGGATTATCCTTAGTGATACTCAAGCCACAGCAGCCAACCACCAGGCACCTCTAAACCTCAAAGGGGCCTTGAACAGACCAGGAGAGCTTTGGGGAGACTGAGCCTCGTCTGGCCTTACAAAGCATGCTGAGGGATGTGACTAGTCCTGAGTCCAGATACAATGTAACAGGCAGCTCTAGGGGGTACTGATAAAGAACGACAGAATGACAGTATCAGAGTCAAGCATTAGGAAAACGGGACGCCAGAGCAAGGTCAACTAACACAAATTATATGTTGACTACTAAAAAAGAACCAGTTTTTATTCCACATTGAGAGGGAAATTCCATATAGATATGCAGCAATTTATGGGATATTTGTATGCGTTCAATCCCCACTCCCATATTAAGATGACCTATAATTTAGATGTTTCTTTAGGCAACAATTTTATTGCTATGGCTTAAATCTAAAATGTCCCACAGAAATCTTTTGCATGCAGAGGGTCTTTTGTTGCATCTTGGACTAATCTCGCCAGCAGATTAATCTGCTGATCAGTGGTAACGAGGTGGGTCCTGGTGAGAAGAGGTGGGTCACGGGGACACGTCCTAGAAAGGTGTATCTCTGTCCCTGTCTGTGTCCTTCACCTCTACTGCCACCCCACCCCAGCTCTGCCTCCTGGCCACCACGAGATGACTTTCCTCCACCAGGCCCGTTAACCGTGCTTTCTGCTTTGGGCCAGCTGACTGTGGATTGGACCCCTCAAAACTACAAGGTGAATTAAATCTTTCTTCCTTTAAGTTGTGGGTATTTTGTCCCAGCAATGGGAAAGTTGGCTAATAAATATTCCAACAATTAGGCAACCAGGCTGGTAGGTTTATTTTAATTGAATTGTTTTATAGGTAAATTTGTTTTGAGGATTCATGCTACATTGGATTAGGCAACAGACCACGGATGTCTGCTAAACAGTTTCCCTCCAACTATTTTGGCACAATGAGATTGAGTTGCTAGCGAAAATCCTAAATCTACACAGAAAATTTTGAGTCATTACTGAGCTTGAAGTTCCTATCTGATTCCCCACTGTTAACAGTAGAGACAGAACGTGTCAGTAGGTCTTTTTCATGAAACTAAAAAGTTCAGTATTTTATTCTTTCATGTTTGGAATAGGTACACTTATTAACATTCTGCTTTATAATGGCTAGAGCTACACAAACTTGAGGCACACACATGGAGTATTTAAAGATTCTTAGAAAATTTCCATTCAAAATAAGAGGGCTACTGGTAATGTCTGGATACTATTTTATATCTTGGGGAGTGAGCAAACCGGACAGCCACAAAGCCGGAATTAAGAAAATGGACGAAGATACTAAGGAGCTGTTGATCCCCATCGGCTGCTTCTACTTCTCAGGGCCTCTGCCTCAACGTGGAGCCCAGGAGAGGTCTGTGGGTGGAGGCTGGTTCCCAAAGGCTGTCTGGTCTCGGGGCAGCGTCCTCTTGGAAGGGGAAGAGAAAGAGCTGCAGACTTAACAGAATGCTGGAATACAATTCCATCTCTCAGACTCGCCTGCACTACACAAAGAAAATACAGGCGAGCAGAAATGACGAGGAAGGATCGAGTTTAGGAATGTGGGTGAGACTCCCACGATAAGGAATTAGGCTGATAGGTGGTTAGTCCGGTAACTTGGATAAAAGGGAAAATAAAAGGAGTCAGTGTACCAATCAGCAAAATGACACACACTACAGTGCCATATACAACAACTTATTTTTCACCTCCCTGTGCAGAATGTCACTTCTACTCTGAGTTCCCGTCATCAAGTGCCCTTTGTAAGATCAGGAGTTGTGGACTACCGTCTGGTCAGAGTGCACAGGCTCAGCTGACCTTACCCATTTTAGAAGTTATTTTCTTGTGCTGTGGAAAGGTCTGCAAATGTTTACCAAGGTGCTCTGCAACGTGTTTCCAGTTGACAGCCCTGTGCGAGAGGAGGCACAGCTGCTGTCTTCTGACTGGGTGCTGACTAGGGAACAGGGAGCACGAGCAAATGTAACACCCCACACAAGGCTGCGCCCTGGCCTCGCCCTGGCCTCGGAGGCGAACTGTCTCCTTCAGCAGCCAGCCGCCCGCCCCTGCTAATCCAGGCACTGCTGATAGGAGTCCCCGGAATCTTTCTGCAGGAGGTAATCC